GAAATTTAAAACAGAAGTACTAATGTTTTTCTAGCCCAAATGTGATAACTTGATGATTAATTGCATAATATATAATAAGAATAATCAAATGCCGCTTAGAAAGATCACCTTGACAATTATATTAGAGTAGATGTTCAGCACATCAAATTTATTTATGATATCCCCCCCAAAAAATTTTAAGGCAATGCATGCTTTTGGCCTAATTTTGCTGTGTTCATAAGAGCTCGGTGCTGTTATATCACGTTTTATCAGGGAGACACATGGACTAAAAATGGGCTTTATACCACAACGCAGTCAACTTAAACACCAGCAGGGTTATTTACTGAGGCAAGAATTAAAAGTGAAATTCAAATTTAAGTCCAGAGTATCCAAACTGAAAGAATAGCTTTTCAGTTTCAGCTATTTTGACTTTAAATATGAAATTCACTTTGAATTCACCTTGAATGAGGGTAACACAGGACAGCAGCTTGCTTGGAACACTGAGGGTAACACAGGACAGCAGCTTGCTTGGAACACTGAGGGTAACACAGGACAGCAGCTTGCTTGGGACACTGAGGGTAACACAGGACAGCAGCTTGCTTGGAACACTGAGGGTAACACAGGACAGCAGCTTGCTTGGGACACTGAGGGTAACACAGGACAGCAGCTTGCTTGGAACACTGAGGGTAACACAGGACAGCAGCTTGCTTGGAACACTGAGGGTAACACAGGACAGCAGCTTGCTTGGGACACTGAGGGTAACACAGGACTGCAGCAGCTTGCTCTGGAACACATGGTAGACATAATAAACTTTAACTCTGGTAACTATAGAAGTCCTCCCATTTAAATGTATGGATAAACATTTGATTTACTTATATATATCACTTGTAATATAATAAAATAGACCAGAACATTTTAAACTAAATACAATCTCTAACACAAAATCTTTGCTATAATTTCAGACATTGGTCGAGCAAGTTACAAAAAAAAGCAAAGGATTTAGTCTATGAAATGGATGCTTCCAATATGTTACATTGATTTATTTGAAAACTTTCATTTCCGATTTAAAAGACTACTAGTAAGCTGTGCCGTGGCAGAGAATAGTGAATGTCGAAGGAGTTGTGCCACGTTCTTTTTTTTTTATGCATACTATGCTTTTGTACAATTGTTGTTTGAAAGAAAAACTATTTACAAAATGTAATGTACAGAATGAAATAATTTTATGTGTCTGGAATTCTTAGCATTAGAACTATTTAATATTTTATGTAATATATCTGGAATTTTACAGTGTCTTCTTTTGATATAAATGAAACAAATAAAATGAAAAAAATCAAACAAAATGAATGTGTTCTGGTTTGTGTGCATGCATGTAAGTTTGCTTTTTTTTATTGGGCAAATAGGTGTGATCCGCACTTCATCAGATGAGCTAACTGGAGAAACTCGCACGTCAGGGGCTCGGGTAGCAAAATCTTCATACCAGAGATGTCAGCATGTCATGATCGTTTATCTAGCCGCGTCAACTGACATTATAGCTACCTACAATGGACTGATTTTCCTCTTATTTATTTAATCAATTCTGGGCGGTCTGGGTATCTTTGCTTAGTGTGAGAGTAGAATTTATGGGTAAGGGGTGTCCTTGAAGGCCCAGTAGCCTCTACTTCTTTCTGAATAGGCTTTCTACTTTTTATCTAATCCTACCCACATGAATTATACTTCTCTCCTTCACCTGAAAGTTGATAGTTGATTTATAATATGCATTGTACCTGCTGTGGTTCCCCTATTTACCACTAAAAAAGGCTTAAAACATAGAATCCTTCTTGCAGTGAACTGGGATATTTACTTTTTCAGAAAAACTAAAGTGAAAAATATTTTTTATTAATATTTACATTTTTTTGAATGCAATACATTTGCTCTGAAAGGCCCAATATATCAGAGAAACCTAACTGATATTGGATCAATTAAGTAATACACAAAAAAAATATGGAATCAATAGAACAGGAAAAATATTAAACAAAATAAAAATAAATAATTTTAAACATTAGAAATGTCACTAGATTTAAATGTTGATTTAGTTATATGCTACAATAAACACAGATTATTAGGCAAACAGGACCCAAACTTTCCTCCAATATAATGTTTTTTCCTAAACGCTCCGTTTGTTCTTTTATAACACTGCCAAAGAGCATAATGTTATTACAGCAAGCTACAACTTAGACATCACATGTATTGTGTATTTCTTAAGAACTCACGTAACGTTCCTTTGTATAGCTGCCAAAGAGCCGTACGTGCATGTAAGCAGATATCATTTAATTTACTCAAATACAGCTAATTACTGATACCTTTTAGAAATAAAAGGATCAGTTTTCCATTATCTGTTTGCTGTAATATAGGTGTTTTCCAAATGGCAGACCACAAAATAATATGGGTGTCCATAGCATAAGACAAGATGAGGCAAGCACCCCTCCGAAATCGCCTTTCTTTTGATTTAAATTGGGTCTAGCATGACAGTGCCCGTATTCGTTATGTGTTTGCGCTTCCTTGAAAACGTTATTGCCCAAGCTGTAAAACTGCAACTCCTTAATAATTGGAAATCCAGTGAGATTGCTCAGTGGGCTAATCCATTATCAGTAGAATCTGTTCATCCCTTGGGGGTCATAGGTTCACATCCCAGCAGGGTTGACTCAGCTCTTCATCCTTCTGAGGTATGTTAAATGAGTACCATTTAATTGGGGAATAATAACAACCCCTGGATGTTGGGCAAATGTAACATCCCCAGGACGAACTTGGAATCTTTATTAATACCTTTCTGGTTAAATACTTTGTTAATATTATTTAGACTGACAGTGTATATTTGACATTGCTCTTTAAATGCTGTATTTTGTGATACATGGCACTAAATAGATTGCTCTCCCCTCGGTGAACATGGTAAGTCATGAACATGGGAGATAATGATATTGGGCAATGAGTATGAGAAAGTTATATACCAAGAGCACAATGTTTATACATTTAACAGGGTTTTATTCAGTGAATTATAAAACAAATTGCAAAATGTAGGTGAATAATGTTGATTAGGAAAAAAATTGCAACTCTGCTATAGGCAGTTATTTTCACCTAAAATGAATAATTTAGTATTTTGTTTGCTGCAATTTGCTGTTTAGCAAATATACTCCAATCTGTTCTATAAAGTCAACATATATTTAGAGCCAGGAATTAAGGGTCACAAGGGCATTGCAAATTTACAGCCAATTAGTTGAAACTTAGAATCATCTGTGTTTTTCCATATGTCTGTAAAATATGCAATTATCTTTACAATTTTCCACTATTCCCAGAGCAGGGGCAGGGGATAACGTCATTTTTTTTCCTAGTAAACACTCCGATACTTGAACAAAGAATAGACTTGAACTGACAGATATTGTTGATTATTTCAAATCTTAACAGCTTTTAACAACGAGACAAAACTGTTAAACAATCTATTTTCCTTAAACCATTAAAGGACCACTCTAGGCACCCAGACCACTTCAGCTTAATGAAGTGGTCTGGGTGCCAGGTCCTTCTAGGGTTAACCCATTTTTCATAATTATAGCAGTTTCAGAGAAACTGCTATAATTATGAATGGGTTAAGCCTTCCCCCTAATCCTCTAGTGGCTGTCTCATTGACAGCCACTAGAACTTTCGATAACTTCTCGCTGTGGTGCTGCGGTGAGGCATAAATCCGCAAGGAAGCTGTGCCGTAGCGCACATGCGGCTGAGCTGAATGCAGCGGCGCGGCTCAATGGCGCTGCTGGCGTGGCATTCAACTGAGGAAAGCGTAGCGAGGCGAGAGGAGGAGGAGAGCTCTCCGCCCAGCGCTGGAAAAAGGTAAGTTATTACCCCTTTCCCCCTTCCAGAGCCGGGCGGGAGGGGGTCCCTGAGGGTGGGGGCACCCTCGGGGCACTATAGTGCCAGGAAAACGAGTATGTTTTCCTGGCACTATAGTGGTCCTTTAAGGACAGATATGGCATCATTTCTGTAGAAAATGGTACGATTGTTTTTGCTAGATTTTAATTTGTCAATACTGTAAATGTCCTCCTGAGAGGGTCTTCAGGCAGAGCTATCAACTGCACTATGCCAATCTTCTCTCATAATTCTTTTGAAGTGCTGTGATGCATTGACTTCTGCCCCTTGAGTAATGGTGATATGATAAGTCATATTTAAAAAGTTGATTAATATTTGGTTGAGCTCCTCAAGTGTTTATGAATGTAACAGATGGGGCCTGAAGCTAAGCTGTCCACCGTGCCATTGGGAAATATGATTGTTAGCAATTTTCCCATAATGGTTTTCCTGGTCCATGGCATATTCACTATTTAAATAGAATAATTTCTTTAATCACATTCCATGACATTTTTCTATGTTGGGAAAAACCACATGTAATTTTCTGATTAAAGTTGACTCTAAGTATTAATTGGCCAAGGCGTAGCAAAATGCGTAACAAAATGCGTAGCAAAATGTATAACAAAATGCGTAGCAAAATGTATACATTATGAGACAGCAACACAATTACGCTAGTATCGTGTACATGCCCTAGGACAACATGTATGTATTTGGTCAAAATTTCAATGCTGCCCATTTTCTAATGTCAATGTATCGGTACCCCATGTGTATCATAAGTTCTGCGTTTTAGGTACAGCATCAAATATATTGCAGCTGCTGTCAAGCTTTTGTATACCATTGCTTCTTATGGTGGTCTGCTCTTTTTGCTAGACTATGCTGTTGACTGCTTAGGCCAGTGATCATTTCCACCAGCATTCTTATCCCCCCAAAAATGTTCCTAAGAACAGCATATTTCTGGGTAAGGGCAATGGCTACAGCTTTTATGTGACAACCATCATAAACTAAAAGTAAACTGGCCGAAGACTACTGGCCAATAGGACACAACAGGCAGAAAGTACTGTTGTCAGGAACCAGGAACCAAACAGAGACAGATCTAGATGCAAAAACACCTTTATTTAATAAACAACAAAGAAATCACCAAAAGCAAAGTCCAGGAGGCAAGCAGGGGTCAGTCACCAGAGCGGGTAGTCAGACGAGCCAGGATCAGGAGCACGGAGGTCAGCGGAGTCAGGAACAAGGCCAGAGTCAGGAACCAGGAGCAAACAGGAAACACAGGAACAAGGAGACTTCTGGGGGACAGGAAACCACGCAAGGGCAAGGAGGTTCTGGGATTAGCTGCTTAAATAGGCTGAACTGATTAGCAGCAGGGTTGATTATTATTCTCAGGTGAGTAACCGTGGCAACATGCTGAAGGAGCTGATAGTTAATTACAGCTGAAACCTCAGACACTGAAAAAGGAAGGGTGGCTGTTTAAAACAGCAAAGAAACCCTGACAGTACCTCCCCCTCAACGACTCCCCCCATTTCTGCTGGTGGGTCCGGGCTTCATGGGGAAGCGAGCGTGATAGGAACGAAGGAGGGATGGTGCATGGACATCAGAGGCTGGAACCCAGGAGCGTTCCTCTGGACCGTACCCTTTCCAGTGCACCAAGTATTGGATCTGTCCTCTGAAGACTCGTGAGTCAATGATGCTGCGTATTTCATATTCCTCATGATTGTCAACCGGAACAGGACGTGGACGTGGTACTGAGGTGGTGTAACGATTACATACCAATGGTTTCAAGAGGGAAACATGGAAAACATTAGAGATGCGCATGTTAGCAGGAAGGTCAAGTGCGTAAGCTACAGGGTTAACCCTTCGAAGTATACGAAATGGCCCAACGTATCGGGGTGCCAGTTTTTGTGAGGGAACACGGAGCCGTAGGTTGCGAGAAGACAGCCAGACCCTCTCTCCGACTTGATAGGTAGGTGCAGGAAGGCGTCTGCGGTCGGCCTGGAGTTTGTAGTTCTGCATTGCGCGTTGCAAAGAGTTCTGAACCTGCACCCAAGTGGAACGGAGTTCCCTGAGATGTTCCTCCAATGCCGGTATCCCTTGTGGCATGAACGTATCAGGCAATATGGACGGTTGAAAGCCATAGTTCGCCAAGAACGGGGATAGCCGGGAAGAGGCATTAATCGCACTATTGTGGGCAAACTCCGCCCAGGGTAGCAGATCAGACCAGTTGTTCTGGTGGTCAGAAATGTAGCAACGCAGAAACTGTTCCAGTGTTTGGTTAGCTCGTTCCGCGGCACCATTGGATTGCGGGTGGTAGGCAGAGGAGAAGGAGAGCTGAATTCCCATTTGTGTACAAAAAGCTCTCCAAAATCTGGACACAAACTGGCTACCCCTATCTGAGATTATCACTTTGGGTAACCCATGCAAACGAAAGACCTCCCGAGCAAAAATTGTTGCAAGTTCCTGAGAAGTTGGTAGTTTTTCAAGGGAATGCAATGCGACATCTTTGAGAATCGATCAACAACCATGAGAACGACTGTATTGCCACGGGAGACCGGAAGATCTACGATAAAATCCATGGACAAGTGGGTCCAGGGTCGTTCACCATTAGGTATGGTTTGCAGGAGACCCACTGGAGGGTGTCGTGGGGTTTTATTTTGAGCGCATACAGGACAGGCAGCTACAAAAGCAGTGACATCCGAACGGAGACTAGGCCACCAAAATTGCCGAGAGACGGACCAGATTAATTGGTTTTTGCCTGGATGTCCAGCTGCTTTGGAGTTGTGATAAGTACTTAATAATTTAGTACGGAGATGGATAGGTACAAAACAACGGCCATTAGGTTTCTCTGGAGGAGCATTACTTTGTGCAGCCAGAATCTCCTCGCCTAGGTGTGAGGTGAGGCTAGTATGGATGGTGGCCAGTATAGGAGCAGCAGCAAAGGCGACTTTGAGCGATTCAAAGGCAGAAATGGCTTCCTGTGACCAATGCTGTGGATCAGCATCTCTCCTGGTCATATCCGTGAGTGGTTTAACCAAGGAGGAAAAGTTGCGTATGAACTTCCGATAATAATTGGCGAAGCCAAGAAAACGCTGTATAGAGCGAAGACCCGTAGGTTGAGGCCATTTTAGTACAGCAGAAAGTTTTTCTGGGTCCATAGAGAATCCAGTATCAGAGATAACATAGCCCAAGAATGTGACCTGTTTGCAATTAAACTCACATTTCTCCAATTTACAGAACAGATTATTTTCTCTAAGTCTCTGTAGAACACTAGAAACGTCTGCGTGGTGGTTCTCGAGAGATGTGGAATGGATAAGAATATCATCAAGATAAACCACCACACATTGCTGCAGCATATCTCGCAGGATGTCATTTATAAAATCCTGGAAAACCGCCAGAGCGTTGCAAAGACCAAAGGGCATTACTAGGTATTCGTAATGCCCGCTCCTGGTGTTAAATGCGGTTTTCCATTCATGGCCCTCTTTTATCCGGATGAGATTATATGCCCCTCTCAGATCAAGTTTAGTGAAGACCGTTGCTCCCTTGAGGCGGTCAAATAACTCAGTGATCAATGGAATGGGGTAGGCATTCTTAATAGTAATGCGATTGAGACCCCTATAGTCGATACAGGGTCTCAACTCACCACTCTTCTTTTTCACAAAGAAAAAGCCGGCCCCGGCAGGAGAAGATGACTTCCGAATGAATCCCTTTGACAACGCATCAGTAACATACTCCTCCATGGCTCGATTCTCTGCTACAGACAGCGGGTAAACCCGTCCACGGGGAGGATTGGCACCAGGTTGGAGTTCGATACCACAGTCATACGGACGGTGTGGTGGCAGAACGCTAGCTTGACCTTTGTCAAATACATCTTGGAATTCTTGGTACTCAGCGGGTAAGGAAGAGGCAGAAATTGTGCCCAAAACTTTGACCGGTTTCCGGAGACAGGAAAATGAGCATTGCTGGGACCAAGATAATATCTCAGATTTGCGCCAATCAATTGTGGGGTTATGCTTCTGTAGCCAAGGGTATCCCAAAACAACCTGGTAGTATGGAGAGGAAATGACCTGGAATTGGATCATCTCATGATGTAGAGCCCCTACAGCCAGAGATATGGGCACGGTTTCCTGGGTCACGAGGGCTGGCTGTATAGGTCGGCCATCGATGGCTTCGAAAGCTAGTGGGGAGTTGCGAGGCTGTAAGGGTATAGAGTGCTCTGATGCAAATGCACAATCTATAAACAAGCCTGCGGCCCCAGAATCAAGAAATGCCCGGGTTTTAATGGATGACTCCGGCCAGGAGAGGATAATAGGCACCAAGGGTTTGTCCTTATTTATCTCTGGGTCTGCAGAAAGACCCCCCAAGATCTGCCCCTGACAGTATCTTGGGTACGGGCCCTTTACCGGACGAATCGGGCAAAACTTTAATATGTGACCGTGGTGTCCGCAGTATAGGCACAGGCCCTCCCTCCTCCTAAAGGCTCTCTCCTCGACAGAGAGGCGTGAGAAGCCTAACCGCCTCGGCTCCACACCGACAGAGGACTCAGGACCAGGAGGCATGGGAGGTGAGGGAGGTTTGGGTGGGCAGGAAAAGCTCGGTGCCAAACATACTGGAGGCCTCCGCAGGCGCTCCCTGGATGAGGATCTCTCTCGGAGTCTGATGTCAATGAGGGTGACAAATGATATCAGTTCCTCGAGATCTTTAGGTAATTCTCTGCCTGCAATCTCATTTTTCATTACATCGGATAGCCCCTGTGCAAAGGCAGCCACAAGAATCTCGTTATTCCAGCCACCCTCTGCTGCTCTGGTACGGAATTCACTGGCATACTCAACAATAGTTTTCGTGCCCTGAGTATTAGACATGAGTTGTTTGGCAGTAGGGGTGGAGCGAGCTGGAATATCAAAAACCCTTTTAAAGGACGCAACAAATTCAGGGTAATTGTAAATGATGGGCCTCTCTGCCTCCCAGAGAGGTTTTGCCCAAGCTAGGGCTTTTTCAGACAGCAAAGAAATCATGAACTGGACTTTGTCGCTGTCTGTAGGAAATGCCTGGGGCAGCATTTCAAGGTATCCTTTAACCTGATTTATAAATTCTTTGCACTGAGCTGGGTTGCCCCCAAAATACTGAGGGAGCGGGACAGACCCAGTCATTCCTCTAGCCGCAACAGGTTCGGAGGCTACAACCGGTGCTAGAACAGGAAGTGAGGCAGAGTCGGCCGCAATCACAGGCTGGCCGGGTTCTGGATTCAGATTGGCATACTGGTCCAAATGGTGGTTCTGCTGGTCCCACCGGGTAAATAGGTTAGGTATAGGTGTATTGCCTGTACCATCTGTATTCATGGCCCTTGCGTAATGTCAGGAACCAGGAACCAAACAGAGACAGATCTAGATGCAAAAACACCTTTATTTAATAAACAACAAAGAAATCACCAAAAGCAAAGTCCAGGAGGCAAGCAGGGGTCAGTCACCAGAGCGGGTAGTCAGACGAGCCAGGATCAGGAGCACGGAGGTCAGCGGAGTCAGGAACAAGGCCAGAGTCAGGAACCAGGAGCAAACAGGAAACACAGGAACAAGGAGACTTCTGGGGGACAGGAAACCACGCAAGGGCAAGGAGGTTCTGGGATTAGCTGCTTAATGTCAGGTTACCTTTGGTGTCTACCTCGGAGGAGGTTAGACACCTAGACGTCCATCCTCCCAGGGGGGCTGACTCACCCGATCCTTGCACTCCTCCCGGTCGTTTACACGCCGGCCGCGATAGCTCCGCCTCCTTTTATGACGCGGCGCTCAGTAGCCGACGTCATGCGGCAATCACGTTCCGACCCGTCAATCACGGCAACCAAGTGCCGAACAACGAATCAGGACTCGTTGGGGGCGGAGCCAACAGTTAAAGAGCCAAGGTATAAAAAAGGGTTCTGTGGAATGATTCATTGCCCTGTCGTGGTTCTAGCTAGTCTGGTCACTCAGTGCAATTACCTCTATTGTCTTTTGGTTCCTGACTCGGCTTGTATTTTGACCCTGCTTTCCTCTCTTGTCCTTTTGACTCGGCTTGTCTCTCGCTTACCTGATCTCTCGTTCCCTCGACCTCGGCTTGTCTCTGACCATTCTTTTGCTTTCTCCTTACGTTAGTCCGGCCATTCTAAGGTCCGGTATACGTACCTATCTCCTGTTTGTATTCTGCGTGTTGGATCCCTGTCACGATCCTGACATTACGACAGGGCCAATGGATCCTGCAGGTACAAACTCTCAGGTCGGTTCTCCTGACTCTAGATTTGAGGCCATGGATCATAGAATGGACCAGATGGCTCTAGCTCTGCAAGCATTGCTATCTCGTCCTAGTAATCACTCAGAGGAGATGCGTACCCCATCTATCTCTCCTATAAGTACAGGCCTAG